CAACTGGTCTACTCTGGGGAGTTTATATTGCCTACATCACCAAGTCCTACATTTTTAGACCTTCAGTCTGGCATTCCCACTCTCCACTAGTGGTATTATATGTTGGTACACATATTTGGGAAAACAATTTGGTGGTAGATAGTAAAAGCCATTAAAAAATAGTCTAGAAAAAAAAAGGTAAAGCTAGAAGCAACATAAATGTTCTCAAAAAAATAAATGGTTTAAGTAGACTTTAGAATAAGATGCTATATGATCATTAAAAATATGGTTAAAAGGATTGGGGAGAAAAGAGAAACATGCTTGTGATATATCAAAGGAACAAATCAGAAAAAAAGTTGATAGATGATATGATTACAACTGTGTAAAATATTTTAAAAGGATCAAATGAAATAGAATTGAATGTTTATGATAAAGGGATAGAATTGTATGTAGTAAGATGGCAGTATCATCTATATTTTTTAAGTTTTCATTAACTGGCTATGTTATTTGAATTAATAATCACTCTCCTACTACTCCATAAGAGAAACTTATTAAAGTACAGCAAACTTACCATGAATATAATACTTCTTAACGGATGAGGGGATTCTAAGCCATTTAGTTTCACTGTCTTCATTAAGAATTTTCCACTCAGTAATAAAATACATCAGAGAGTAATCACTGGGTGATAATTTCCAGGAAAGAAACACACAACTGCTGTTTAAAGGATAAGCACTGAGTGACTGCACGGTATTTACTGAGGGGAAAAGAAGGAAATTTGTTTTTAAATTCAAAATTAATGTAAAAAATCAAATACCCTCAAGGCACATATAACCTATTAGACAAAAGGAGAAGGAAGAGAAGGCTGACATTTATATAAATAAATATAATACAATTATTTTTGTACCACAGAGTCATGTATGCGGAAAGATGTGGGAATATATGCTATTGAGGAGAAACCAAAAACGGGATTTTGGATAGAGTCAAGGAAGTTGCTCGCCACTGGAATACTGCCCAAGCTTATTAATCATCCCCTCTACTTCTCTGCAAACTCTTTTCTCCTGCTGATGGAGTTGTGCTTTCAAAGAACAAATCTGATCATTTGTCTCCTCACAGAGTCTCACTTAAAAGCCTCCACTGGAGGGGTGCCTGGGTAGCTCAGTGAGTTGAGCATCCGACTCTTGATCTCAGCTCAGGTCTTGATCTCAGGGTTGTGAGTTCAAGCCCCACAATGGACTCTGTGCTGGGCATGAAGCCTACTTAAAAAAAAAAAAAGCCTCCACTGTATTTCCATATGTGAGGATAAAATTCCTTCATGTCCTCTCCTATGCCACAAGGACTTTCGGTCAGACTCTTCCTCTCTCAAGAGCCAATGCTCTTTTGGGGAAGTTTCATTCCTATACTGCTTGCTTAAGAAAGCGTCTCTAAACCTCAATACCAAGTCAGGTTCCTATTTTATTTCCTTTTATAAAATTATATTCCTCTCCTGGGAACATTTATCTCAGTTTGTAAATAAGCATCAACTTGTATGATTATTTGATTATTTGTTAATTAAATAATCAAAAAGTTGATTTGGCTCTGTGGATACTGAGACCATTTATAGTTTTTCTCACATTGGAGTTCCCACCACTTAACACAGTGCAGCATTCAATAAATATTTCTAGAACATCTTGATGGAAAATATTTTTAGTGTAAAACATTGTGTAGATGCTATGGAACTTACAAGAAGCTTACACTATACATACAAAACTAATCATTAATATAAGGCAAGATATAAAATACCTTAAGAAAGGTAGGAAGCACCCCAATTTAGGACATACCTAATCAAAGCAATAAGCAAAGACTTCATGGAAGAGATTAGTAGAGATACAAGAGATTTTAATTTTCCATTAAAAAGTTACACTTTGAATATGTAATGCAGATTGGAAACTCCTATTAAGGCAGTTCTCAATTCTCTAATCAAATATATCAAAATTAATTAAAGAAGGTTCATCACTTTTTTAAAAAGTTATTTATTTATTTTGAGAGAGAGCATGGAAGAGGAGCAGAGAAAGAGGAAGAGAGAGAGAATCCCAGGCCCCATGCTGTCAGAGTGGAGCCTGATGCAGGGCTTGAACTCATGAACTGTGAGCCAAAACAAAGAGTTGGATGCTTAACTGACTGAGCCACCACAGAGCCCCAGTTCATCACTTGTATTAAATGAAGAACAGGGGTGCCTGGGTGGCTCAGTCGGTTAAGCGGCTGACTTTGGCTCAGGTCATGATCTCGCGGTCCGTGAGTTCGAGCCCCGCGTTGGGCTCTGTGCTGACAGTTCAGAGCCTGGAGCCTGTTTCAGATTCTGTGTCTCCCTCTCTCTGACCCTCCCCCATTCATGCTTTGTCTCTCTCTGTCTCAAAAATAAATAAAAATGTTAAAAAAAAATTTTTAATGAAGAACAGATTAATTTTCCAGTCTGAACAATTACTTGCATCCATGTCATACTATTACATATGTATGTAATAAATATAATACACACATGTACCTGTACTTACTTTTACACACACACACACACACACAGAGGCAGGGAGAGAGAGATTAATTCACGTACAACTTGCATTGATCCAAAAGATTTAGGTATTAGATTTACTAGAATATTCTCATTTATCATAATATTATTTCAACATGGTTCTACCACATGAAAACCCAAGGACCATATTATATAACCAGGGTACAACCTGCTTTGCTGTTTTTCAGAAAAGAAGAAATTAAAGACAGGAGACAGACTTACAGATTCAGGGAACTGCAGGCTTCTTGGAAGATCATTTAGAATGGGAGGAGTTTGTAAAAATTAGATATTGAAAGGGGCACAGGTTTACCACCCTGTACCCTTTCTTACCTTTGCTCATAGGCCATGAGAATGTTAAATTAAAATTCACAAAAGAAGCACCAATTGAATTGACGGCCAGAACTGTAACAGAATGTGCTTGCTCTGTCCACAGGAAAGTGAATTGAGTGTGATTTCCCACATCTTCTGACCATGTTCCATTGCGGGAAGTATGATGTTTTACCACGTATTTTCTTACACTACACAATGAGTCATTTTTCATCAGAGGCTGTAGTAAACATGAAAATTGATTAGTTTAAGGGCTCCCGTGCTTTTTATATCAACCAAGCTCATGAACTCTTCTTATATGTTTCCCACTGGGAGGCAGGGGCAGACCAGGGCAAGCCCTGTCTAGTTCAAGGCTGAAATATGGGGAGGTGAGGTAGGAGAGGGCTGGTGTCTGACAGAGACACAATGAAGTCATCGGGATGGGTATACAGCACAGGAAACTTATTTTTTTCCTTAAGACTCAGGGAATAAATCATTTAAGTATAATTAATTATGATACAATTAGGACACTTTTCTACTGAGAAGTTTCACACTAATTTTAGAGAAAAGAAAGACCGGCAGAGAGTCAAGAGTTTCCTCATCTGAAAAACCAACAACGTTCTGGTTCTGCAAAGCAACAACAAGAAAGAGCTGAAAAGATATTAATCATCATTTATGTTAACCCCAGTGTCATTTGTTATCTCTTCTCATAATTGTTGCTACTTCAAGTAACGGAGGCTATCAGAACCATGTATACGGCATCCCAGAATTTCTGCCCGATCACTTAAAAAAAAATCATACCAGATCACTGATGATTCCATGTAAAATACATATCTAGTCCAATTATGTTCTTCCATTCTACAGAGCATTAACAATACACCCCACTTCCTCCATTACTGCCACCTGTTTCAAATAAGATTCAGTGCTGCCAATGCCTTACAACCCATCGAAAACGACTCCATACAGTCGACTGGAAGTGTTTCTCCATATATTTTTTTTTTGTCATCGAGATTCCTCAAAATCAGAAATAACAGAAAAAAAAAACACAAACACATACACATGTATGCCTGCGGGGTGTGGAACAATCTGGGTAGGTGGGGAGTAGAATTTTATCAGATATCATCTAGTCCAGCTCTACATTTATACAGATGAGAAAACTGAGGCTGAAGCATCTAAGCAACTTTGCCAAAATAATGCTGACCTAGCTGTAATATACTCAGCTGAGAATAGAATGAAGTTCCCTAACTCCATGCCAGCACATTGTAGCTCTCTGCAATCACATCTCAAAACTGAAATGAAATATTGGGCTGCAGAGCCTAAAAAATGACAGGATTATGAAGTCTTTCATAAGTATAAAAATAAAATTTAAGAGTAATATAAAAAGCAGGAATACCTTCCAAAGTAAAGTAACATTTCTCTCTTTTTTAGTGGTGTCTTCATTAATTATTCTCCAAACTTCAGGTCCTCTGGTAGGAACTGCAGAAGGACAAGGAGCCCAAGTTGTACATGTGCTCTCAGAAGGCATAGTTTTTAGTCCTATTGGAAACGCACATCCTCGTGCATTTTTAGGACACATTTACAAAATCTCTACAGACCTTTTACATCTGTGACAACTGTGTAGGCTGGACTACTCCAATTGCTCCAATATCCCAGCCCATCCAGCCTCTTGCAGCGCACCTGAACAGCATAGACAGCACACAGATCTGGCACCAGGACGCTGGCAGAATTGGATTTTGCATCATGTACCTCATACATCTGTAAAATAAACTCAAGCATTAGAGTAATCATTACCAACACCTATGTAGCTAAAGGGCCCTGAAGTGCATTCTATTTAAAACCTTAATACTATTCCAAAATTAACAGAGGGCTGACTTTGTGTTTTCTGGCTACAGAAATATGTGACTTGGATCTTGAGCTCCTTCAAGTGAAGGATTATCTTAGTCATCTGTGGTCTCCTTCTCAGGCCAAGATTTGGACTGACCTACTTGCAACCTCACTCTCAGCTGTTCTCAACTCTATTACTAATTTCTGTCCACTAATCCTCTACCCACAGAAATTCTTAATAATTTTAACTGAGTGGTTACATAGTGATATCTCTGATAGTCTCTTCAATAAGATGGTAAACTGGCACATCCTTTCTGCTAAAATCATGATGATCTAAAGGCATAATTAGGGTTCCTAATATTCCTGGGTCTTTGCCGGCTGCCATCTGAAAACTGACGTGGCCTGTCACCATATGCACACTTGCCACTATGGGTGTGGTTTTAGTTGTTTGGTAAAAGCAGCTTCTTCCAAAATGTGTCCCTTTGAACATAAGTGTACTAAAGAATATTAGATGTTAAAGGAAAAAGAGTTCCTTGGTAAATTGAGTTTGAGAAACACAGAATAGAATAAAGTCACAAATATTACTTTGATGCAGGACCTATCTAAACCTTTAATATGTAACCCAGTGCAGTTCTGTACTAGGAACACACAGTGATACAGGGGTTCCTACATTTATTCATCCATGCAATCTTTTTTCAAGGAATATTTCAATATTCTGTCAAACTCATTTTGGGAAATGATGGGTTACAGGAAATGTCATAACTTTAAAGGGTTAGACCTAGGGGTGCCTGGGTGGCTCAGTCAGTTAAGTGCCCAACTTCAGCTCAGGTCATGATCACATGGTTCATGAGTTTGAGCCCCACATTGGGCTCTCTGCTGCCAGCGCAGAGCCTGCTTCAGATCCTCTGCCCCTTCTCTCTCTCTCTGCCCTTCCCCCACTCATTCTCTCTCTGTCTCTGTCTATCTCTATCTCTCTCAAAAATAAACATGAAAACAATTCTTTTAAAAAGGGTTAAACCTATAGAAATATCTACTTAACAAAAACAGCTACGGAATACAGGAAGATGTACATTTGTGCCAATAAAATAAATCTTATGCAATAAAATTCTTAAACACTTATAAGAAATAACATTTAGTGACACAAGCTGAAGACATTTCTATGTAAAATGTACCTTCCACTGTACTTCTTTTCCACTTAAGCCGTAGCGAATCTGGAATTTAAGATTATTCTCTGGAAAGACTGGCTTTTCCCAAGATATTTTCAATAATCCAATTTTTACAGTAATTTCCACTTTCACACTGGATGGAGGCAGTGGTTTCACTAGAAAATTTAAAAATAGTACTGTATAACAGTAATTTAAACAGTGAGAATATTTTTAAAACATTATGATGATGTTATAATCTTTTATACTCTATAAAGCAGTATCTCCTTCTCAAAGGAGATTAAAAAAAAATAGTACAAGTCAATGTGCAAACTCAGCATATTTGGGAACTAAAAGTCCCAACATCCCAGCACAGTAGTATGAACTCTGAAGCTCTGCACTTATAATACCTTAAGACTGTTGATGGCCAAAACCTCTAAACCTTTTCATTTCTAATGTTTCTCATGCTTATCCAATTCTTCATATATGAAGAAGACATTCTTGACCAACAGTAAGATGACATACATTTCAACTCCTGAAAAGTTAATTCCTCCTCAGAAAAGGAAGTATGAATATGTGAGAGATGCTAAGACATTCAATCTGTGATCTTACTTGACTGAATCATATGGATATCATATGGATATATTCCATGAATATCTAGTTTGCAGAAAGGATACTTTAAAGTACAAGAGTTTGCATGATCCCTACAACATGCACAGTGAAGAGGAAGGAGAAGCTTTCCACATTTTATGGGTGATAAACTAGTCACGGGGCACTTACATGTCTAGCCCATGTTTACAAAGCTAGTAACACATGGAACTGGCATTTGGATCCTAAAGTTGAATCTCCACCTTGTTTTCTAGTACTAAGTAGGCAGTATAAGCCTAACTTAAACTCCTAATTTTAGTACTGAAAAGAATAACATCAAAGGTTGTTCTGATAACATATAGAACTGAATTCATAGTGTCATATATTACATGTGAAGTTATTAATGTGTGTGTTTGTGGGGTAGAGAGTGGTAAGAGGGTTCCATGCTATTCCAAGATACTTAGTACCAGAGAAGTACTCCTTACAGTAAAATCCCTTTAAGTGGAACCAAACTAAATAGTTTGTGTGTATGCATGTGCGTGTGTGTGCACATGCGCGCACGTGGGGGAGGAAATCAATTAATTGGGACTCTATGGTAATAAAAAAAACCCTAAATATTATGATTTTATCATACATTTAACAAAATATAGGTTTTAATTCAGATATGTACGAATTATTTGAAAATATAACGAATCAAATACTGATTTTTGGCATAATTTCCCAACAAAATCGTATATAGGACCAAAGATATTCTTTTACCTCTATTGCATAATCATAAATAGGTCATTTCTCAAAGACTTTGCAGCAATATTGGAGGGATATATTATACTTTTCAGTATATTCTTAATCCTTTGAAATCAGTGGATCTTTTTTAAGCGTATTTAAAAATATCATGATGGATATCATCTTTATTTTTTTTTTTGTTCAGTGTAGTCATTTTGAATCTTTCGGTAGCCTACACAGCCTCACAAATTAAACTCTCTGGTTATGACTACTCAGATTACAAAATCCATCACAATACCCAAATTAAATTTCTAAATTAAAAACACCAAATGTTTTCATAAGTACATTGGGAGAAAAACAAAGCAGTGCATTATTTACAATAATATTACTGCTACATTTTATTACCAATGACCAATATAACTTATCAAATTACATGCTGAAAGTATTCCTATTACAAAAACACTGTGCTATAAGTAACTTAAAAAAATAAAAACAGTAAAACTTTCTAAGGTTGATTGTCTTTTCAATTCCACTATAAACACACACAAAATTTTGTTTAAAAATAGTGTTATCTGAAAATGGTAAAACACAACAATTACCATGAATCAACCTGAATCCAAATCTGCTAATAAAAATGAAGACACACAACACAGTTTGACATACCCACAGAATCAGGAACAACACACGTTGGTGGAGAGTCAAGTGAACCCAAAGAGTGATTGATTCTAATCCACATTGTATAGCCGGACAATAGAAAGATTGGCTGAAATACGCATTCATAAAAACCATCTCTCTGCAAATGGCAATCTTTAGATTCAGATATGGGATGAATAGATGGAACATCAGAGCAGTAAAGGCTGCTCCTTAAAAGATACGAGAACACTCAGTTAATATACAACATTGATGAAAACGGTAAGATATATGAGAGAACGCCATAGATTTTATTCCACTTAAAATAGATGTTCTTATTGGAAATGCATTTTTGATTTCCCCACTGTATCACAATTTTATGTATTTCCATAAAAATGACAACAAACCTTATTAAATATTTTATTAGATACTAAGTGGAAATGCAAATAAAATAATTGGTATTCCTTCTCTATGGATCCAAGTAGAGGTAGAACCTACGACACTGATAGTTAAGTTAATATTATATTTAAGTGATTATCATTTTAAAAGTATGGATCACAAGTAGTATTGGAGCATTCCTGAGATGGGAAGGAAGATAAATCCCTTACACTTTAAATATGGATTAAATTCCACCAGAAACTGAAGACATAACTGATGACAGTAAATTACAGCTTAATTGACAATGTCCTAGTATTTTCCAGTTCGGAGCATTACAATGAAAATGATTTATATCTGAATCATATAGTTAAATATATAACGCATTTTCTCGGAGAAGAAAATTAAGAAAGCAATTTTTATAACTGTGTCCCGATCAACACTCTACCTCAGAACATACGAAGCATTTTTCCTTTTCTTTGAAATAGCCCTTCTTCCACTATTTGCTCTGAACATGGTATTTAAGTGGTTAAATTAGCATTTTGTTTCCATAAAAATGGAGTAAGGAGATTACAAGAAAATGAAAAACCTACATTCTTATGTTTCTCGTTCTATTTTTTGTGACATTTTCCTGCCTATCTCCTCAAAATTACAATCATTGGGGTGTCTGTGTGTGAATGAGTGCTAGTGGGGAGAGGGGAGAGATGAGAACAAGATATGGGGAATCATCTGCGGTAAAAAGAACCGTGACCATGTACAGAAACACAGTAATGCTCCATTTGGAATGCAAAGGTTATATCTTTGTCATCATGACAGCAATAGCCATTTACTGAATATTTACCAGGAGAAATTCTATCACTTAACTATAATTAAATGGAATTTATCATTAATTCTCACAGAAACCTTGTAAGTCCTATTATTCACTCCATTTTACAGACAAGGAAGTGGAGTCTTAGAGAGGTTTAAAAAACTCGCCACAGTACATGCAGGAGTTTCATACTCTTCTGTAAATATTAGCGATTTAATTGAGGTACAGAGCTTATGTGATGATCATCCACAAACACCTTTTTTAATGTGAAAATGTTATGGAAGGAACGTAAAGACAGATTATAGAAGTAAAATGGCATCCCATGAACATTCTATTGATTTTAAAATGCTACTATCAAGTAAGATGAAGCCAGCTATTATTCCCATGTAAGAAATGTAGAAATTGCCCCATTTTTCTACCACTACATAAGAATAGAATAGACTGGTCATGGGGTGCCTGGGTGGCTCAGTCAGTTGAGCGCCCGACTTTGGCTCAGGTCATGATCTCCCGGTACATGAGTTTGAGCCCCATGTCCGGCTCTGTGCTGACAGCTCAGAGCCTGGAGCCTGTTTCAGATTCCTTGTCTCCCTGTCTCTCTGCTCCTCCCCTGCTCACGCTCTGTCTCTCTCTCCCAAAAATATAAAACATTAAAAAAAATTTTTTTTAAAGAATAGACTAGTCACTTTAGGAACAGAATTCAGATCACAGTATTTGAGGACGGGGATTTGTTTTTCACGTAGAAAATTTAGATTTTAAGAATAAATGAGTAGGGGCACCTGGGTGGCTCAGTTGGCTATGCGTCTGACTTCAGCTCAGGTCATGATCTCACAGTTCGTGAGTTCAAGCCCCGTGTCAAGCTCTGTGCTGACAGCTCAGAGCCTGGAGCCTGCTTTGGATTCTGTCTCTCACTCACTCTCTCTCTCTCTCTCTCTCTCTCTGCCCCTCCCCGGCTCATGCTCTGTCTCTCTCTGTCTCAAAAATAAAAATAAAAACATTAAAAAAAAAAAAAAAAGAAGAAGAAATGAGGACAAGGGAGACAAACTGGAAGGCCCCAGTATGAACACAAATTGAGACAGCGTGTTTGAGAGCAGTATATATCACTGAAAACTACTAAGAGAGATTATAAAAATAAAAATGTATCTACCTCCTCCTAATCAAGAGTTCTATTACTTCAGATGATACTACAGGAAGATGATGTCTTGGAATCATTTCAAAACAGGGAAGCACAAAAATAAACAAGCATAAATTACTCTTTATCATAACACTTCACTCCTTATTAAGCATTTCTTTCCTAATCTTTCCTACTTCTGAAAGCATTCATATTATCTCTTAGAATCTTTGTGCAACAACCTCTGACTTTTTTCCAAGATATTTATCTTTAGCAAATGATACTGGACCTCTATAATCATGGATATTCTCCTCTGGCCAATTCTCTAAGTCAAACTAAAATGTACAGAAGCCAATTCTTCCTGGATTTCATTCAATAATTAAAAGGCAATTATGGAAAATTAACTGATTATCAGAAAAATAATTTGAGGTAAAAACAAGTTATATTTTTTCTATCAATGTAAATTTTTCAAAAATCACCTAATCCCTCAACAATTTCCTAAGTATATAGTACCTTCCTCTATTAGGAAGAACGTCTACTAGACTACTGTTCTGATGATATTTCTATAAAAAGTTTTATCTCACCATATCCACAGAATAATAACTCAGCAAAAATAATACATACCTATGATACCTCAACTGCAAAGTACTTCCCACGAGTGATTGGATTGCATTGGTTGACCATCTGCAAGTCATTTGAGTTAAGTACCCATCAGTTTCACATGATATATTGATATCGACATCTATTTAAAACACATTAAAATATTAATACAAAGCAAAATCACCACAAATTTTTTAATGAAAATAAAATTTCCTTACATTATCAATGGGACTCTAATATAGGGTCCATAATAAAAATCTGTCTGTGGAAGGAAATGAAGGGAAGTTCAGTATTCTTACCAATCACATATAATTCAGCATAGCGATGGTGGCATTCATGCTCGTTGCAGCAGTATATTGCATCGTAGGTAAACTTCCCTCGAGGTTTGGTTGCCTTCAAACTGCGAAAAGTAACTTTGCTAACATGGTCACCCACGACATGATACTGGCTTTGAGGAATTTTCTCAGCTAAATTCATCCACCAAATAATCTTTTTTGAGGAAACAATCTTGTTTTCATTTTTATAAATGCAGTGAAAAGAAACATTAGACCCGACACTTGTCAGAATTTTAGGTGGAAAGTATATGACATCTGCAATAAGAGAAGAAAGGGAGGATATCAGATGAAGAACAAAAACATCCTGTATGGAATTTATGCTACATAGAGAAGATTCACAATGCAATCAGGATCACACTGCCAAAAATAAAATGAGTGCACTAAGAGACTGTATAACTTGTACTGCCTGCTTAAAGACAATTCTGTAGTATTCAGGCATTCCCATTTCCAAATCACTTGAACTTCCAAAAATGTCTCAGCATTTTCTTTTAAAAAATTTTTTAATGTTTTATTTATTTTTGACAGAGAGAGAGAGAGAGAGAGAGAGCGAGCATGAGTGGGGGAGAGCCAGAGAGACAGGGAAACACAGAATCTGAAGCAGGTTCCAGGCTCTGAGCTGTCAGCACAGAGCCCAACGTGGGGCTTGAACTTATGGACTGTGAGATCTTGACTTGAGCCAAAGTCGGACACTCAACCAACTGAGCCACCCAGGCGCCCCTGTCTCAGTATTTTCTAAACATAGAAATTTATTACAAAGTGTATTTAGTGAGTAATTGTCACTTGCTAATTGACAGGCAGAAAATCAATTTAAATGAAATATAACCTAATTCCACAATGACATGTTTTCATCAGACTGTGCCTTATGAATCAGTGAAACCTAGGCTGAGTTCTTGAATCAAATCACTGTAAAGGCAAAATTCTGAAGAATAAATGGTGGTTGCTATTGTCTCATTTGGATATATGAAAATTTCAATCAGCAGGTAAAGCTGGAAAATAAGCTTTAAATAAGACAACTGGTTAGGGACAGGGCACCTGGCTGGCTAAGTTGGTTAAGCATCCAACTTTGGCTCAGGTCATGATCTCATGGTTTGTGAGTTCGGGCCCCACATCTGACTCTATGCTGACAGCTCAGAGCCTGGAGCCTGCTTCAGATTCTGTGTCTCCGTCTTTCTTTATCTCTCTCTCTCTCTCTCTCTCTCTCTCTGCACCTCCCCTGCTCGCTCTCTCTCTGTCTCTCACTCTTAAAAATAAATAAACATTAAAAAATAAATAAATAAATAAATAAATAAATAAATAAATAAATAAAGAGAACTAGTTAGGGAATGTAAAATCAACAATGCCCCAATGCACCAAAACAGGTAAACCTTAAATACTGGTCTGTAATGTTTTAAAGTTATTTAATGCCAGTATGCTGTGGTTAATGATAAGAGGAACCAATATTTTTCTAAAATATTATTATTTTTTAATGCCTCTACACTATTCCATACTACTTTTTTGGTCCCCTATTGTTGGAAACAATATATTTTTATTTTTAATAAAATAATCTATTGTTTACATAATGTTTATATATTTTTATTTTTAATAAAAGAATTTATTATTTAATAAAGCAATCTATATTTTTAATTAGAAACAATAAAAGTGATTGTTTACATAAGAAGAAATCATTTCTGCCACAGTGCATTACAAAAACAGTGTATTTCAGTTGTACAATTCACAATAAGACATTTTCTTCTGAGAGAATATGAATATGTTTCTATTCATATCATCTGGATTACCCCCCAAAACAAAAACGAAAACCTTCATTGATTTTTATTATTTTATATCATCTGGATTACCCCCCAAAAACAAAAGTGAAAAACTTCATTGATTTTTATATTTAAGTTTTTTCTTTTTTGCAATAGCGGGCTAAACTCCATGGCCTTTGTATTTAGAATCCAAACAAAACATTTGTATTTTGTACATTTGCAGTCAAGCATAAACAAGAAAAAAATTAGTAGCATGAAATCACTAGACAGAAGACAGTCCATTAGATTTTTAACCCTAGCCTAGGATGGCACTCAAGCTTCGTTAGTACATTACTTACTGCACGCAAGTACCTAGCACAGATCTGAAAAATCATTAACCTATTTTCAATATGCTCCACATGTCATTACTGAATGGCTTCAAAACTTTAAGAGTAATTTATTTTTTTAAAGAGTACACATTAGATTTCAAAAGCTAAGCTGAATCTTTTATGTTTAAAGATAATGAAAAACTCAAACCATTTCACTTCAAAATTGAATGCCTCAGTAAGGCTTAATCAAGAAATGCAGTTAAAGTCATAATATTTTGGCATGATTAAATACTAAGATATTAGCTTACAAAAAAGAAAAGCAGGTTATTAAAAACCTGATGATGTGTAAAGTTTACATTGAATATACAGAAATTGATATGAAGTAAATTAATATTTAATTTTTAAAATAATATAAATATATATTTTATTCTCATGTAAGATACTCCACAACATTTAATTTGTAAAATGAGAAAATAATTTTCTTCTGATGACCAGGTACCAATACTTTTGTAAGGTCTAAAATAATGAATTTCATTAAAAGAGGAAAATCTTTTGATAAATATTAGTGAATTACCTACATGAACATAAATCATGAATCAAAACATTAAAGTTATTTTACAATGTGTTTATTATAGCTCCAGAAAATAGATTTTTAAATTTTCAAAGCAGACTTCCTATTTTCCTTTGAGGGGAAAATATTTTCTCTAGCACATTATAAGCACTGCCAAGTATGAAATGAAGAAATTATCTGTTTCTCCTCTTCTTCGGCAGCACAAGAATGTAATTAAGAAAGGTACTACAAGAAGTGAGCACTTCTAAACTTGTTTTAAGCGTGTGGCGCCGTAACTCAACTGCAACATTGTTAGCTTTCCTAAGTTCTGCGAGGGTCCTGGGTTTTCTTCTCAAAGTCCAAGGTCTCCCAATAGCTACAAAGAAAGAACCTAGCCAATTCATTTTCAAAAAATCTGTAAGAATTCCTTGATTAGAAATGGTCAATGCTTCATTAACTGTGTACTTGGTAGGTACAGCTTTAATAAATCAATGACTACAAAATAGTAACTATAAAGGTACTGATAATGAGCATTCTGTTTGCTCCAGCAACAATACATCAGACAACCTCTGTTAAAAAAAGAAAAATCAATAAAATCCAAAGTGTTTGGAAATGATAAAGCACGTGTGCTAATTCACTCATGCTAAATAAGTTAATGCCTCAAACTTACAGAATGCTTCTGTTTGGTGGATGTCATTGTAGCACCTAGCAGTGAGCAACAGAAGATAATCTAATAATATTAAATACCTCGATTTAAGGGAGAAGGATCCAAATCCTTTTACATAAGAATAGGAAGCTCCCGAGTTTGGAGAAACATACTTCACTGATGCACAGCACTCAAGAACAAGCCTCAAGTGCAGTAAGCACCGTGAGGTGTGGAAAGTGCTGTGAAGGCAAACTCAGCAAAACTAAAACTTGAACAACCTAAGCAACACTGAAACTTCGTTTATCAGGAACCATGAAGGAAATGAGAGGTCCCACTAAAATGCTCGATGTAAGTTTACTGCTTATTAGTTCCCAGTATCAATTTTTAGTGACACCAGAAATCTTGCATAAATATACATCATGCACTTAATCACTGTGTTAGTGTGTACAAACATGAGCGCTGGGATTGGCCTGCCAGCTCTAGATTGTGCCAACTTTTACAAGTTACTTAACCTCTCTAAATCTCGACTGCTCTGTTTGTAAAAAGGGAGTATCAGGGAGACATAGGTGAATACCGTATCTCACAGGGCATCAAAAGGATAAAATGATAATACATGTAAAGCACTTAGAGCAGTGCTTGAAACACAGGAAGTACCCTGTAACTGTCATTACTATGATTATGATTATTATTATTATTATTCAGTAGGGAAGTATGAACCTAATTGTACCTTTGATTTATGATTTAGCACCCATCATTACATCATTACAGAAGATGATACTGTAACACAGAAATGTGCTTGGGAGCTACTGAAGTGTGTAGGTTTTTCTCCCCACTCTTGGTGACCCTAGTCTACTTTCTGTTTGGCAAGTTTCTATCTTTCCCTTAATATTTACCTGGTACCACTCACTGGCAACTAAGCCATCCAAGTCTGTTAAACTAGTAAGCTACTTTTACACTTATTGCTAAATCAACAAATTCTGCCCATTGGGGCAGCTGTTTACTCACTGTCTGGCTTTATTTTTAACTTATTTTCAGACATTTCTGTTTGGGATGTCTAAAGTCACTAGAGGGATACACCTGTGGTGAATAAGTAAAAGGATAGGTGTTAATTGTAATACTGTTAGAGACTGTACAAGTAAATAAATTGGTAAAGTTTCTTCTCAACAAAACATATCTTTATTACTGTCAGGTACACAAAACACTAAATATATGCAGAGGGAAGGGCATATATATGCCTATGTGTGTGTTTTATAATACATATTCATAAATCTTATTTATATTATGCACAAAAGCATAAGAATGTGGTCCAACATATTCATAAACCAAGCAAATTTAATCCTGCACATAATGACCATGAACTAAGAAAGTAATAGTAGTATGAAAGGATTTTGCACAATGTAAAACAGAACTAAGCCTATGTCCATCCAAAGGTCTAAAAAAACTGACCTGAACAATCTAAAACAAAATCTTACATGAAATATAACACAAATAACTATCACATCATAATCGATCAAAATGTTCATTTTAGGGGTGCCTAGGCAGCTCAGTCGGTTAAGCATCTGACTTAGGCTCAGGTCATGATCTGACGGTTCATGGCTTTGACATGAACTGTGCTGACAGTGGGGAGCCTGGAACCTGCTTCGGACTCTGCATCTCCCTCCCTCTGCCCCTCCCCTGCTCTCACTCTGTCTCTCTTTCTCTCATAAATAAATAAATAAATAAATAAATAAATAAATAAATAAATAAATA